GCCGCTGTGACACTGCTCGAGGTAGAAGATCTCCGGGGCGCGATGGCCCTCTGGCAGGTCGGCGAGATCGCCCCTTGCATGAGTAATGCCTTAGTCGGAAGAAACAACGCCCGCGCCCGCGTTGCCGTCGTCCTCCTCTGCCAGATTCCCCCGCCACGCGGCTGCTGGCGTCGCTGGAGGCGCGGCCTGACATGCGGGCGGGGCCCAGGCGGCCAAGTCCCCTTGGGCGCCCTGGCCAGCGGGGGTAGACCATGATGCTGGCGCAGGTGCTCCTTCTTGTTGCTCTGAATGAGATTCGTCGGACATGTGCGTTTCCGCAACATGTGCATCAGCTCCCGAAGGTCCCCCCATCAAGTGAGCAATATCCCCTGGCATCCGTTCTGAAATGCGTCGCCGCCGCCGCGGCGATTCCAGGAGATCATCGCAATGCTGCTGACTGCAGGAATACAGGCCAATCAACGGCGGATGGGTGGATGCCACTCCTCGTGGAGGAATTCGTGGAGCTTGCGCAAGTGTAGTAGCCGATCGCGTCTGCCTCCGCCCTGGCGATGCCCCACCTGGCAAACGCACAGTCGATGCGCGCGTTCGGCTGCGCCCGAGGGACCATCAACTCGAGGCCTTGTTGGACGTGTCCCTCATCAACTAGTCTCTCGAATAGTTTCGCCAGGTTGCGTCGAAGATTGGTTGCGGGATCTGTTCGCGCCCCGTTGACTTCTGCACCAAAACTGATAACTGATGGAGGCGCTCGCACGGCCGCAGCCCTGGCCCTGCCCCGGGGCCCAGGCTGCGATTCGGAAGCCTGTTGCGAAGGCGCCATGCGTCCAGCATAGACTGGACGCTGAGCCACGCGTGGACTTCCCTGGCCCACGCTCGATAAGGCACCGAGCCTGCTGGATCCCACGTAGGAGCCCTAGATTGTAATCCTTCGCGTTCTCGGCGCACGTGGCCGACGATGGTGCCCCTGACCAAATCTCTGTCACCATTTCCAGAGAATAAATCCTGCCGAGGCAAGTGGGCATGCTCGATGTAATTCTGGAGGTGGAAATGATTCCTGTCGCGTTACCACGACCGGCTAGACACGGAGAGAGGCTCGCGAAAAGGCGAGCCTGTAGGTCGGATCTGAGCGGGACTTTCGCGTCTCCGCGTACGAAAGTCGACGAGGTCGGAATCTAAGAGGGAGTAGTGAACGTCGTGGACAGTTGCGGATCATTCGCACCTCCACGAGTGAATGTAGATGAGGCTGTTGTTAGGCGCCTAGGAGGTCGATGTGGTGGAGACCTGAGAACCGTTGGCGTGTCCACGAGGCGAATGGAAACTGAGTCGAAGACGTTGTGGTAAATGTTGTGGATGTCGGTTTGGCCGTCGAAAGTCCTCGCGCGCCCGACGAGGAGTTGACGGAGAGGAAGGTTTTCAGTTCGTCGGTCGAATCTCCTCCCCCGTCGATGGCCCAGGTAGCGGAAGGAGTAAGGGCAATGGTGGCGCTGGTGTCGGGGCCCGCGTAGCGGTCGAACTCGCAATTTGCCCTGTTGTTCCTGTTGTAGCACTCCGGCGTGTAGATACATAACGGCACAGGAATGTCGAAGGGCCCGTTTCTCTTGCAGACACAGCACATAAAATGCAGACGACGCCGCCGACTCTAGCAGAGAGGGCGGCGCTGCCTTGAACCAAGGCGCAGCGGTATCAGGCAAACGTATGTCCCCGCCTTGGGACATACCCTCACAGTGCTCAAGTCCTAGCTGAGCATGTATATGATCGGAGGTTTACCCCAAGTGTGCACCGACGCCCCGCTTAGCATAGGCCCGCAAAGCCAACCCATAGTCAGACATTCAGAGTAGGCCTGGCCGATATCGATAACCAAAAATAATACAAGCGAAAGCGAAACTACTGGAACGCTGAAGACGAACCAAAACTACGGGCCCAGGGTTCTTTTTTAGTTGGTTTACCCCCAAGTTTGACTTGAAGGAGGCCGGCGGATGTCCGCTCGATTAAAAACAAAGTAAAATCCAATGCGGCGTGAAAAAATCCGTTTCGCGCGTGCCCGCTCAAGGAAAGTCGACCCCCCATCTCGGATCCTGGATAAATAACGAGGTCCGCAAACCATCGCTTTCGTTCGTAAAGAGGGTGCGGGGCATTCGTTCGCAAAATCATAAAAAAAGTCTGGAGCCCCGACCGCGACGCAGAAAAGCGGCCCGCGCGCAAGAATGTCGAGGATGTCTCGCGCGTGCCGCGTCCCGCGCGCAGGAATTTCGAGGATGTCTCGACTAAGTCGCTTGCTTTTTCCAGATTTCCGTGAGAATATTGAGTTTGTGCGTGCACGCTCGAGGATGGTGCGCCCCCAGCGCAAAACAAAACATAGAGGATGTCTCGAGCGAAACGCTTGTTCTACAAAACTTGAAGGACCTGGGCGCCCCAGCATGCCCCAGGAGGCCCTGGGAGCGCGGACGCGGAGTAATCTACTAGGGATCGTGGCGTTTGGAGCGCGGACCACCCGTAATTTGCAAGGGATCGTGGCCCTCGGAGCGCGGGCGCAGCGTAACTTACGAGGGGTCGGGGCCCTGGGAGCTCGGACGCAATGTAATTTACGAGGGCGCGGGCCTTGGAGCGCGGGCACAACTTAAAATACGAGGGATCGGGGCCCCTGGGGGCTCGGACGCAGCGTAATGTACGAGGGATCGTGGCCCTGGGAGCGCGGACACAAGGTAATTTACAAGGAGTCGGGGCCCTGGGAGGGCGACCCCAATACACTCAGCATTGCAACCTGGCACGTTCCCTGGCACGTTCCGTGGCGCGTCCCGTGGCGAGTCCCCCTGGCACGTCGCGCGGCGCGTCCCCTGGCACGTTCCCTGGCACGTCCTTTGGCACGGTCCGTAACGCGTCCCCTTCGCACGTCCCGCGGTGCGTCCCCGTTGCACGTCCCCTGGCACGTCGCCTGGCGCGCGCCCCCTGTCAATTAGCTTTGGGGCAGCTACTATGTGCCCAAGCAGCTGAACTTAAGATCCAGATCAGTTCGGTCAGGACTCGGAAACAAAGAGGGACTCGATCCACAACGCTACAGGGCAAAATCTCGGCATGACACATCGCAACTTCAGCACGGCGCAGCACAGCACAGCCCTCGGCACAATACATCAAGGTCGATACACTGAGCGTTGCGTTTGCCCGTCGTCCAATCAGGTGTCTTTGAAGCGCTGCCATGCCTTACAGTTCTAGATTCCTTTTCCGGGTTCGTGGGTCGATCATGTTTTTAGCGAGCAGACCACACATTGTTCGCATGTCAATGTAAATGCGGCGCGGGGAAGGTGGGCAAGAAAACAAAACGAAGGGGTCCATATGTGTGTTCTCTACTCTCTGCCCCCTGCTTTCTACATTCTGCGGTATGCACTCTACTCTGGGACATCCCCATCTACGTTTGAATTGTACCCTCCTACCTTTACTCTCCACTCTACACCCCCCACCCTCCACCCTCTACGCTCGCCTTTCCAGACGTCGTGTTCCTACACTCTGCTCCGTCTATGCGTTCTTCACTCGACACTCTGCCCCACGCGTTCTACTCACCACAGTCTATCATGTCTACCGCCGTGCCACGGGGCACGGGGTGGAGCGTCCTCAGGCCCCTTCGGCTCCTCAAGTTTGAGTTTTCGAATGCTCTCCAGGGGGCCAGAGGCCCAAGGGGCAAATTTCCTGGGCTGCTCTGCGTGACTGTTGGGACAGGTCATCGCGTGACTTCCCAGACGCCAAATAGTATCAAGCCAAATCAAAGGCCAAGAGGCTCCCAAGATGGTACAAGAGGGGCCCGAATCGGCTCAAGAGCACCCGCCCACGATGCCCTCCAGACTGCCCAAGAGGCCGTCAAGACGCCCCAAGAGGGCCCCAAGAAACTCAACGGGGCAGAGGACACCAAAATCATTGATCCATGTGTTTAAAGGGTTTGGGCGTACACGCGCGTTCGAGCTTCAAGGCCCTAAGACAACCTAAAAAGCCCCGAAGAGACACCAAGACGCCCCGGGATAGCCGAAGGCGGCACCCAAGATGGCACAAGGTAATTAATTCCAGATGTCTCAAGATGGCCTCCAACATGCCTCCTAGAGGCCCCACGAACGCCACAAGACAGCTCCAAGCAGAAGCGGTCAGCATCGGAGCGGTACATCGGATCGGATCGGAGCTTGAATCGAATCGGGCTACGTGGGCACGGAATCTAGATCGGATCGAACAAATCGCGCCAGGATGCATAACTAAGCCGTGCAATCATCGGGCCGCATCGGATCGTCACAATATCGGAATCGAATCGGATCGGGCCAGGCGAACTCGGCATCAAATCGGATCGACCGCATCGAAGTGGGCCCTGGCCTTAAGGTGACCCCAAGGGAGCTGCCGAGAGGCTCCCACATCGAAACGTCCTCGAAGGGAGTCATGGTTGTCTCCTGGGCTCGCTCGGGCTGGTCCAGGGCTTCGGCTGGACGGCTGCCCCTCCTCCTTTGTCCCACAGCTCACCCTCCGCAACTCCCCTCCATCCGAGCAGATCGCACGCGCATCCTCTCTGGATCGGCTGGTGAGGGGCAACGAGTCGGGCAGACCTGCTCAGGGGGGGACCAGCGAGAGCTGGATTCGGCGATGCACCGCCGATAGGTCGGCGCCAGGCCCCCGATTGCGAAGCCGCACGTTCCCAGGCGCGGTGGGCTACCGTGTCCCTGTCCGCGATCAGTGGGCGATTTGCGGGTCGTTGCATTCCCCGCCGAGCCCCTTGCCGTTGCCCCTGATCATAGGTCACAAATCGATCCCTGGGCCTCTCCTGTGGTGCACTCTGACCATGAAGAGGCAGATCCAACTGTGCCCACGAGGACGCCCCAGGACAATGCAGCAAGCGAACCTCGATCCTCCAACCTAATGGCCCTCGATCCTCCAACCTCGCACCTCCGAACTTAAGCTGATGGGGGCATGCGAAACGTCAAAAAGTTACCTCGCCCAGCCCATGGCGACCCCTCCGCCAACTGCCGACGCACGACCCCCTGGTCGCATGGCGGCAGTGCGACTGGATCTCGATCTCCCGCCGCAGTTGGTGCTCCACCCGGTGCTTAATCAGCTGGGCCTTGTCCAGCACCTGCCCTGCCCTCTCTCGACGGCGCGCCCAGGGGAGGCAGGCAGAGGAGGCCGGGTTTCGCAAAGGCGGTGGGGCTTTTCACAGGCCCTCGCGCCTTCTGAGAAACCATCTCTGGCTTCAGCGAAGGCCCTGAAGCTTGAGCATGCCAACCGGCAAACAGCTCGAGACATCCCCGCAGTCTGGGCGCGAACGGAAGAGGGCAACACCCATAGTGGCCCCCCTTTGGCGGCGAAAACCGGCGCCTCGCCGGAGAAATCCTCTGAATCGGCTCCGAAAGCGGATGACGTTGAGCATGCAAGAAACCAAACCGCTCGAGACATCCCCGCAATATGGTTTCCCAGAAGTGCGCGGTTTCCCCCGGGGCCGTGGGCGACCCGAGGACGAGGAGGAGGAGGAGGAGGAGGAGGAGGAGGAGGCGGAGGTGGAAGAGGGGGAGGGAGGAGAGGAGGAGGAGGAGGAGGAGGAGGGAGGAACTGGAGGAGGAGGAGGAGGAGGAGGAGGATATGGAGGAGGAGGAGGGGGAGGAGGAGGAGGAGGAGGAGGAGGAGGTGGAGGAGGAGGGGGAGGAGATGGAGGAGGAGGAGGAGGATATGGAGGAGGAGGAGGGGGAGGAGGAGGAGGAGGGGGAGGGGGAGGAGGAGGTATCGGTATCACTCCACTGAGTCCAAAGGACGGACGGACTAGGGAGAAGTTCGGGGTTCCCCCCTCGCACCAAGCTCTCGGCTCTCCACACCTGGAGGGCGCCAGCGACGGTGCCTTTCGGCAGACGTCGGCGCACGGCCAACCTCTCCCAATGCGGCTGGTGCGCCGAGACCAAAAAAACTCAAGACGCGATCGAACTCTGCACTTCGAGCACTAAGTAGCCCGCGGGCCACGGACCCGCGGAGCCCTAGGCCCAGCCATGGACGCAATGAAAACACAGGATCGCAGTTTCCACCAGCAGATCCTTGATGGCAATCGTTAGCCTGCGACTCAGGAAAGAACGTTTTTTTTTGTTTCCCAGCGCGACTAACTAGCAAAGGAGCTGGGACCGCTGGCCGCCTGTAGCAAAAATATCGAGACACAAATTACTGCCTGCTGCCCAACCGAGGTGGGGCATCACTGTAGGAGGCACTGCATGAACATGAAGCTGACAGGCGCGCCCTTGTAGTGCCCCCTCTGGCCATACCATGTATTCGTTATCATGGGCATTCTTCATCACAGTGTAGATGTCGGACACCTTGAGCGCAATCTGCGTGGTGCAGGCCTCCTCGTCAAGGCGGTTCCTCTGGGAGTTGAAGGCGTTCATCTTGATGCCTGCTTTCTTCTCAGTGGCGCCTTCTTCGACGGCGAGACGCATACAGGCCTGAACACCTGGGTAAGCAGCAGCAGCAAGTTACTGGCCCAATTGACCAAGGCTGCCCATTGCGGCACAAACACACTTAGAGCTCGAGAATCTGTTTTCCCAAGGGCACGTGTTGACGGAGATGCCACTGAGCCTCCGAATAGTTCAGGAATGAAACCTCGCACAGCTGACACTCGCAAGGAGGAGGAGGAACATGAGTAAATACCGTGGCGGAACCTCTGGACCTAGGACACGTATTGTTAACCATACGACGTAATAGGTGTTGACTCGCAATCCTTTTCGTAGCGTACATATTCCCATATGATATACACGCGTTCGAAACAGTAACAACATTCGCCAGATCACGAAGTCCATGTTTAGGTAATCTAGAGTTCACTTGGCGTAGCAGTAGTTGACGCCTAGTGGGGAATACCGCACTACAGATACCCACCCCCTCCCCCAGGTTAAGCCCACCGACGAAGCCAGGGGGGGGGGAGGAGGGGGAGGAGAGGGAGGCGAGGCCCCAAGGGACACAGAGGGAGGTATCTGTTGACTTAGATATTCACTTGCCAGGACTCGAGGATCAGTGCCGAGGAAGGCGCCCCTCGCACCTTCGTCGCAGAAGATCGCAACAGGCCGCGCACGGACAGACTCAACGTGTTGCGGGCGCTCTCCAGCACGAAACAGATTTCCCAGATCATCTTGAAACTGCGTCCACCAGGAACGCACAGGCCCCACTCTGCATCCCTCCCCGCCCAAGCTCCTGAACTCTTTATCCTCCCACAAACTCTCCCCGAACATGGCGCCTAAGATTTGTAGGTTGCGCAAAGGGCGCTTCGCAATATCCTGCGCCCACTTCAATCTCTGCACTCGAAGAGAGAGCGAAACCGACGCGAGCCCCAGCTCAGAGAAAACTTTCTTGTTTGTCATAGCGTTGCACTGCGTCTCCACATCCTCCTCCTGATGTCTACCGCTAGCCCTCCCCCTCAACGGCCTGTGCGACATAGACGCTTGAGCGCCGCCCAGCTGATGCGTACTCTCACCACGCAAAACAGATGCTACCAAGCCAGACATCAGCGCACCCTCCACCGCCGAGCGAAACGCTATACTTTTCCAACGCTTGTCGGAGCAATGCTGCCAGAAACCTTGCAATAAATTGCATCCCTGTCGAGCTTTCTTTACGCGCCGAGGGATTTCAGCAACTGGACTGCCATCCGCGCGAAGAAACGGGCCGAGATACCTCCGAGATACCTGCGCGATCGAGCGACTTTCCCAGCAATCTCCTCCCCATTCCTAAGTCTCCAGGTGCCCTTCTCTTCAACATACCTCCCTCCACACAGACGGCGTCGAGCAGCATTGGCACCTTTACCACCCAAATGCACTAAACACTCCTGCTTGCTCGGGTTGGCCTGAACGTTGGCGATGCTTAGTCTGTCTTTTAGATGTTCAGTGTTAGTTCTGTTGAGCCGGATCAGACCATCGAGCGAACGCACGAGCTGAGTCCTAGCAAGATCATCCGCGAAAGCGGTCAGAGGCACATCGATCGGCTGGCGCGACCAAAAACAGAGGCGGGCACGATCATGCGCATCGCCAGTCAAACAGTGCTTCAGCCACGGAACAGACGCGCTAAGCCCAGGGCACACAGCGCACGCAATCCCGTCTACGGACCAAAGGCACGGACCCAGAAACCATAAACAAGCGATAGAGTCCCCAGGGGGCGCGCCCGAGCCGATCCCCATCTCTAAAATACCGCCCACACAGTCGAGACTGCCATGACCGTGCTTCAATCTTTCAGCAAAAAGCGCTGTGGCGAACTCATCCGAGTTCAGCCTGATGAACATCATCCACATTTCGTGCGATACACTGTGGAACGCGTTCGTCGCGTCATAAAAACCCGTGCAGAAACTCAGCCCCCCCCCCCCCCCCCCCCCCCCCTCACGTAATCTTTCTTGTGCCAATCCCTGCGCTAGCATAGCACCTTCCCTCCTCCTGTTCTTAAGATATCCGCATGCATAATGTCTAGAGGCTTCATGCGTCAACTGCGGGTTAGCGCGCCGTAAATATTTGTAGTGCGCCTTGCCAAACGGGTCTAAACTATGAACTTGACGAAGTCCTGAACACTCTGCTTTCCCGTTGGCCTTGCTGAGAGCGAACGCTTGACTGCAATGCCAGATAAGCGGGGCTTCGGCATGGGATCGCACAGCCGCCGATATCGAGAACCGACAAGGCCTAATTGCCAGCAGGTCCCAGCTCTCTGCGTTCGCACCTAACCCCTCTCGAGCGCGTGGCTTAAACTCCCTGGGCCAGAACAACATGCGCCACGCGGCGGCTGCCATCGACCGCGACGGAGGTGCGCGGCGAAGTTTAGCCCGCCTGAAAAAACCCGAAACTTTGCCATCCACCTCTTTCGTAGCAATGTTAGCATCCTGCATGCTGTCCGTTCTAGGCTCACGCGTGAGTCTCCCGCCCAGAGCCTCTTCGTACTTCGGAGCACCAGCGGAAGAGGGAGAGAGAGAGAGAGAGAGAGAGAGAGAGAGAGAGAGAGAGAGAAAAGAAACAAAAAAAAAAAAAAAAAAAAAAAAAAAACTCCTTCCTCTTCTGGCTGCGAGAGAAATTGAGATCATGTATCACAACCTAAATAGGCTCTAGGAGTCGAGAACAGGCGCAACTTGGGGCCAAACGACTTCCCGCTTAGCTTACGCGTTAGTTCCCATGACACAGCAAAACTCCGCTCGCCCCAGGAATCTTCAAGCTCAGACACCCGCAACCCAAGGTAACGGTTTCTGTCACGCCGCGCGAAATACCTAACAGCGCGGTCGGCCCGACGGCACAGAGTTCGATGCCTGGCAAGCTTACACACGTCAACTAAAAATTCACAATACTGCTTGCACACGCGAACGAGTATGCCGCATGCAGCGAGGGGAAGAAGGTCGAGCAAGGCAGAGGACGACACAGGAGGAACGGGAGGGGGGAGAGGAGGAACAGGGCAAGCACTCAATGACCTCAGGCAAAGCCTCCTCTCTATGCGCACAGCTAGCGCATCTGACGTATCTTGCGGCCTCACAGCGTGTTTGGGCTGAGCCCTGAAAAAAAGACAGAGCAACTGGCATCGCAGCATTGTAGAACGTCAAGTACATGGAATCTGCGCTCTGCTTCGACAACTCCTCTGCGTCGAACGCAACTTGTCCGACAGCTCTGTTGACCTCCGTCAGGAACGCATGTCTCCCTTCTCCAAACAAAACTGCTCGGCTCAGCTTGGTGTGGTCCCATCTAACGTTATTCTCGCCCCTAGCGGGGAAGAAAAGTCAAATCTGCAGTACCGCCACAACAGGAAAATTATCCCTACGTGTACGCGTGTTGATAAGCTGCAACGCCTCACCTGCACGCCCCCATACTCGACAAGCTGAAGCCGACCCCCCAACATCTCTTGTACTGCAGATATAATCCACTCGAGCCGTAGAAACTCCATCTGCATGATAGTACGTCGGACTGCAATCGAAATACGTGTTCGCCGCGCACAGGCGATGCTCTTCCAATGCTTCTCTGGAAAAAAAAAACTACCATTCGTGTTCTCGATATCCATGTTCAGCGTGCCCAACGAATCGCTCGCCTCGCTGCCCACTCTGGCGTTGGCATCCAGTAGCAACACAGGTACAGTACGTGTTGGGAGCTCATTGGGAAGGCTAAGCAGCGTGTCCCAGAACTTCTTGTAGAACTTGACTGCCGCAGCGCGCCCTCGTCCACCAGGCGGCTCCGCAGGCGCACAGGCGACTATAACAATCGTGTCTGTACTCTCCGTCTTGAAGCGAACCGCACCCACCCGCTCTGCCATATCTCCCGTATACGACCAAATTCTTCTGACATGCGAGAGTGAGAAATATTATTTATCGTGAGCTAGTAACGTCACACCAGTAGGCCGGCCCGACGTACCACTGCTGCGACCCCATTGAAACCGATGAAACCGTCCAAGGCGATCCTGAGCACACGGTAAATCAGTAGCCACTTGTGTACCTGCAAGGCCCACAATGCCGCAATTCTTGAACTGTCTTGCAGCGTCACTCCATCTTCCAGCTTGCCTCATAGACAGTGGATTCCATGTGCAGCAGCGAATATGCATGATGGCCGCCCGAGGCTAACAACTTGAGGGGTGTCGAGGCACGTCAGGGACATGCCTAGGGGCGCTGATCGCCCCGCAAAAAAAGGGCTTGTGCCGCGGGGGCTGAGGAGGAGGAGGAGGAGGAGGAGGTGGAGGAGGGAGGAGGAGGAGGAGGAGGAGGACGAGGAGGAGGAGGAGGAGGAGGACGAGGAGGAGGAGGAGGAGGAGGGAGGAGGAGGAGGAGGAGGAGGAGGAGGAGGCTCTGCATCTCTCCGTCGGCGGCCTGTGGCGCCCGGCTGGCGAGCAGCGCGGCGGCGGCTGAGCGTGGCGGCACGGGCTGCGGCCACGGAGGCGGGGCCAGTCGGGTATCGGCGGGCAGTCGGCCTCGGCGCCGACGAGTCGGCCGTGGCAGGCGGAGCGAGGCCTCGTCCCCGAAGGCTGTGTCCCCAATGGTGGGAGCCCCACTGCCTGGACCTGCGCGCCGCATTCCCCCCCCCGTGTGCCCCAGTAGACAGAGGTCTGGCCTCCCTACTCATCTTCCCGCTGAGCCCAAACCCCCATGCATGCACGCACAAGGACAATCGTCGATCGATGCACGAAGGCTGAACCGCTCCCTGCAAAAAGAAGAATCTGTCGCGGCGCCTTTAGAGCGAAGATGAAGCCTGTCCGCCTGTCCCGGGCGACGTACACCTCAGCGCGCTCTGTTACACGCATGCTGGTGGAGAGAAGAGGGGTCGAATGGATCCAGTGAAATCATGCTGCCCAAGCTTGCGAAGGCCCCCGACTGTGCGACCCACTGAACTAGATTTGGCAAATTCGTGCCGCAATGTTCGTCCCAGTCAGGGTCGTCACGCACTAAAACAACGGCTGTGTACAACCACGTGCAGAATGGACAAAGGAGCAAGCCTGCTGAGGACAAGGCCTTCTGGATTATCGTTGACCCCGCGTCTTGAATACTTTCTGGTGCAAACTCTAACGAGCTGATCCTCCGCATCATCTGGAGTGGAACTGGAGAAGAGGTGCATATCAATCCTACCATCGAAGCCCAACTCTGGAAAGAGGCCAAGTTCGCTGGATAGGCTCATGGAACGCTGCATCATTAACACCGATAGCATGTCTCGGTGGTCCCCAGGGTCCTGCCTCCCGTTCAATTCGCCGATCTGGCGTGCGAGTTTACACAAAAATGAGCCCAGCGCGACCCGAATTAGAGGCCACTGCATGGCGCATTGCTTGGCATTGCTTGGCATTGCTCGGCATTGCTTGGCAATGTCGGGGGACCCGAAGGACAAGACCGGCAACCCGAGGAACCCAAGCAAGGAACAAGACTGGGAGCTGGGAACCCGAAGATCCCAAGCAAAGAAGCAGACCAGGGAACCCGTGGAACCCGAGCAGGAAACAAGACTGGGGAACCCGAGGAACTCACGCAAAGAATCCAAGAACAGGGAACCCTTGCAGGTCACCAAGACGGGGGAGCCCAAGGCCCTTGTAAGGAAACAAAGCCAGGCAACCTCCATGAAACCCCTTTGTGAAGAAACGTGACCGGGGAACCTCGAGGAACCCCGGCGCGACTGCGTCCGGCACCCACCGGCGTCTTCACACACCGAAGGGAGCCTAAGGCAAAGCTTGATTGGAAAAAAAATCCGACGGAGGGACCCCGCATGATAATCTCATCAATGTGAATCAGACCCACCCTCACCGGCTACCAACGATGGCGATGGTGCCAAGATGCGAGGATACCAGGATACGTCGTGCGGGGTTTGTTGGACCCGCGGGCCCCCTGCGGACCACATGAAAACGCCACACTGACCCGCCTGCTGGTTGGCGTGCCTTCGGAGCGCACCAGGCGCAAGGCTTCGTCATGCAGGACGACGACACTAGAAGCTCCAAGCTGCTCCCAAGCAGACTCTGCCGCCTGGCGAAGGGGAGGAGGAGGAGAGAAGCAGGCCAACGACAACGAACGCGCAGGCGGGGGGCCAGGGCCCGCGGGGCGGGCGGGCAGGCGGAAAGGGGCAGGCGGAAAGGGGGCTGGGCGGAGTCAGCAGGCAGGGAGCAGGAGGAAAGGGAAGGAGGCAAGGAAGAGGAGGGGAAGGCAACCGCAAGCAGACAAGGCAAGGAGAAGAAGGGAAGGAAAGAGGAAGGGGAGGAAGACGAGGCCGAATGGAGGGAAAGCAAGCGCAAGCAGGCAAGCAGGGCCAGGGGCCGGGAGAGAAGAATAACCACCCGCGACGAAGCTATGGACCTTACGGCGGCGACCTCGGCGGGGTGGCCGACCGAACCCACCACGCTGCGGCTTGGTGGGGAGAGCCCTCTGCGGGATCACCCACCTCCACGCTGAGGAAGGGCCGGGCGGCGCGTATGAAGGGTCGCCCGCGCGACGTTGGCGAAAGGGCAAGGGGGGGGACGCGGGGCGCTAGGCGGCGCCAGGGGGACCTCACACGGCGTCCGCCTGAGACTTCCCAGCGCTACACTCACAAACGAGGCCCCCGCTCGAGAAAACCTCACGCTGTGCACCCTTGGGGTGCTCAAGTGCTCTGCCTGCTACAGTAGGCCAGTGACCCGTTCGGATTACGGACGTGATGTGCGGGCCCCATACACAAGGGGTTCCCGCCCGAGACTTCCCCGCAATTCACTCACAGAGGAGGCCCCCGCTAAAGACATCCTCACGACTTGCCCCCCTTTCGGGAGCTCACATGTTATGCCTGCTACAATACGCGCACGACCCGCCAGGAATACCCATGTGAAATGGAGACCCCATGGGGACAGGGTTCGAGTTCGAGACGTCCTCGAGATACACTCGCAGACGAGGCTCCCGCTCGAGAAGTCCCCACGATTTGCCCTTTTTCGGATACTCAAATGCGATGCCTTCTACACTATGCCGACGACCCCCTCGGATTACCGGCGCGAGCCGGAGACCCCATGGGGAGGGGGTTCCCGCTCGAGACTTCCTCGCGATTCACGCACAGACGAAACCCCCGATCAATACGTTTTCACGATTTGCGTGCACCGGGGCGCTCTAATGTTATGTCTGCTACAGTGCGCCCATGACCCGCTCGGATTACGACCCCCCCTTGGGGCGCTCAAGTTTCATGCCTGCTACACTACACCGCTATGCCTGACCCGCTCGGGTTACCAACGTGAAATGCGAGCCCCATACGGCGGGGCTTCCGCCCGAGATTTCCGCGCAGTCCAATCAATCGCGGACGAGGCCCCCCGATCGAAACGTCCACACGATTAGCCCCCTTTGGGGTGTTCAGGTGCTGCGCCTGCTACACTATGCCGATGACCTGCTCGGATTGCCAACGCGAAGCGCGGGCCCCAATGCGGAGGGGGGGGCTGCCCGAGACTTCCTCGCAATTCAAACGCAGACGAAGCCCCCGCCCGAAACGTCCACGCGATATTTCCCCCCTGGAGTGCTCAAGCACTTTGCGTGGGAATTTGCCGATGACCCGCTCGGATTGCCAACCCGAAGTGCGGTCCCCATAGGGCGGGCGCCCCCGCGTGAGACTTCCTCGCAATTACTCCCAGTCGAGGCCCCCGCATGAGACATCCCAACGAATGGCCCACATTTGGGCGCTCAAGCGCATGACTGGTACAAAGTTTGCCGGTGGCCCGCTCGGGTTACCAACGTGGCGCGCGGGCCCCATAGGATGGCTCCCAGGGTGCCACAGCCTGCCCCCAGATGGGATGGGGGGGGACGACAACGACGACGAGGTCGAGGACGAGGACGAGGACGAAGACGACTGCAACGGCGACAACGACGACGACAACGACGACGACGACGACGCCAACGCCGACGAACGACAACGACGCCAACGCTGACGAACGACGACGACGACGACGACGACGAAGACCACGACGACGACGACGAAGACGACAAGAACGACGACTACGACGACGACAAACCACCCCACGCCCGCAAGGGGGCCGGCACCCTCCACCACGCCCCGCCCACAGGGCCACGACCTCAGCGGAGGGGGAGCGGTCCCATTCGCGAGGCCTTCGTAAGGCTTACTGGCGTGCCCATCCAGCGCGGGTGGAGGTCTCGATCCCATATCCACTGGGGGGGGAGCAACCCTGGATCATATATCCAAGTCCACCGCCTGCCGAGGCCTGCGAATATCAAGGCTACACGCGGTGATTCTGGATAGGACCCCCGCCGAGAGTAGCTCCTGGCCGTGCGAGTGATACCGCTGAAGTGCGCGAAAGGTCACAACGTGGTATAAGGAAGAGCACAGCGTGGCATCTGTAGAGCAGAGCACTGCGTGGCGTCTGATCGGCTTGTCGCACACTGATGCGACATCAATCTCACTGTGAGGCGACACCAACTGCAAACGGCACGGCTTGAAACTGCCCTCCTCCGAGCCTCAGACGCAGCTTTCCCGCTCGCCGGCGCCCGGTGGACAGCCTGTTGGGGGGGACACACCGCGAGGCTGGGGAAGGGTTTTGGACGAACAGTGAAGAACATAGCCCAAAAAGGTTTCAAAAATGGTCCCCAAAAAGTGTTCAACAATCGTCCTCTGACTATTTTCTGATTATTTTGTATACTCCTCCTGTAGAGGGACAAGCCCGACTTTAGGGAACGGATTGAACAGGGACCAACCGTCCAGGCATTTCGATCGGCCTACCACGAAAATGTTCTTAGAACCCAAAAACGTTCTATCTAAGAACAAAGCAATGTTCTTAGAACACAAACCCGATGTGTTAACACAAGACGGTCCCGACCATAACTGTTCTAAGAACATTTCGTGCACACCACAAAAGGTTATCATAACATTGTGTGGTAGGCCTATAGGCTTCGGTCGGGCCTGTCGACCTACAGCGGGATTTTGGACAGAAAATTAAACATACTCAACAAGTACTCCCCAAATGACCAACAATAGTCAACATATCGTCCCCATACCGTTGTTGGTCTATTTCTGAACATCCCTCCTGTAGAGGGACAGGCCAGACTTAACTATAAGCACGCCAGGACGCTTCGCCACTGCTAGAACACAAACCCGATGTGTTCAGTCCCGGCCCGAAATGTTCTAAGAACACTTCGTGGACACCACGAAAGGTTCTCAGAACATTGTTTGGTAGGCCTATAGGCATGCCAGAACGCTTCGCCACTGCTTGAACGGCGGGGACCACCGAGCGGGCACGCCACCGACCGCGCCCCCGCCGCTCGCCGGAGGCCGCGGGCCCTGCCCCCGGCCGCCTCGAGCCCTGGCCACCGAGCGCAGCGCCCGCCTCGCCGCGGCGCACCGGCTCCGCGCGCCTCGCGCGCCCCAGAGCTGAGGGGGAACGTCAGGGGGAGACCAGCTCAGGAGGAGGAGGAGGAGGAGGAGGAGGAGGAGGAGGAGGAAGAGGAGGAGGAGGAGGAGGAGGAGGAGGAGGAGGAGGAGGAGGAGGAGGGAGGAGGGGGAGGAGGAGGAGGAGGAGGAGGGGGAGGAGGAGGAGGAGGAGGAGGGGGAAGCATCGGACCGGAGCCGGCCAGAAGTCGCCGACGGAGCGGCGGCAGCGACTCCGCGCGCCCTCGGGCGAGGGGGGCCACGCGGGCCCCGAGCGGCGACGACTGGGCGGTGGGGGGTCGAGGCAGGCCCCCCGGAGCGGAGGCCCCCCTCTTACCGGCGAGCCCAGGGGGGAAAGCGAGAAGGGGCGGGCGTCCTCCAAAGTGAAGGGGCCCCAGGACACACAAATAAATACACACGAATAAGAATATTCCCCATGTTTTCCTATACTTTTCGGGTTTCTGTCTTCCCCCCCACTTCCCATATCTTCCTATATTTCCTTGGGAATCGAGGATTAATTGTGTCTGTGTGTTTTTTCCTCTCCTGACAAAGCTCGAACTCCTCGGGCCTTCTGAGACATGTTCTGAGCCCTCCCCGAAGACACGGAAAACTTCTCAGAGGGCGCGAGGGCTTCTGAGAAGCCCCGCCGCCTTCGGAGGAGGCCTTCGCCTTCTCACTTCCCCCCCTCGCTCGCCGCCGACCCGTAACGTTGCCCCTGACCACCCCCCCGGAGCAGGGGCCCTGGCCGCGCCGAACTTGCCGGCGCCGAGCCGCTTGCCCACGTCTATGTCCTGGAGGGTGAACCTCGCGGGCGGGGGCGCGAGGCAGAGGGCTGTACCGAACTCCGCGGCGAGCGACGGGGGGAAGTGAGAAGGAGAAGGCCTTCTCAGAAGTCGGCGGGACTTTTCGGTAGCCCTCGCGCCTTCTGAGAACCTGTTTCTGTTTTCGGGGAAGGCTTCGAAAACTGCTCAGAAAGCCGGGGGGCTCCCGAACCTTCTGACAAAGCCTTTTCCTTCTCACTCCCCCCCCCTCGCTCGCCGCCGACGAACCAGTCGGGGGCACGATTCGGAGCCTCACGGGAGGAGGGCATACGGCAGGCTCGTGCCGTGACGTCCCCAGAGCAAGCACGAAAGCGAGTGCTAGCAAGGTGGTCTGCTGGGGGCAGGACTACAAATTATTCGCTTTCCGCGCGATCTACGGAGGAACATCTTGTTCTACGTGCTCGTCGCCCACTGCGCAGACTCAGTCTCGCGGCTGTCCCATTGGATTCGGTCAGTAGCTGCTCGGGGACGACCCCAGAGTTGGTTTCTGACACCGCGTGGGTCGCTCAACCCTGACCGATCGGCGACTTTTCGACCGCCAGATTGTTCTGTGCTGGCCAATTCTAGGCCACCGGCGGCGTCCAATCTTGAACGCCCGCAGCGGAGTCGCAGCCGTATGGCCACGACACGAACCTACCATATATCCATATCCATGCCCTCTAGAGGAAAAGGAACTATGCACATACACCGATTCTGGCCAGGCCCATCCTGAGCCCAGGATCGGTGCATACGCCCTCCTACCTCGGCCAGGAAGGCATATGCGCCGATCCTGGGTCAAGGATGGGCCTTGCCAGGATCGGTGCATGTGCATAGTTCTCTTCGCCCGACCCTCTCGATCTGGACACCGAGGCGCGATCCCGCATGGATGCGCGATCCCATGGACACGGCCCTTGCGGGCTGTCTGCGCAAGACCTCCCTCTGTGTCCGTTGGGCTTCACGGCCCCGGCGCCCCGATGTCTGGGCAGGGCTGCCGCCCACGAGAACTGACGGGTCGGGGGCGGCCGCACAAAAATAGGGGGCAAACAAACCTACCTCGCTTTTGACCACCCTCGCTTCCAAGAGATACCAAGCGATGCCAAACTACGGCATGTACTGGTCAGGCCGCTTGCCGAGGAGGCGTGTGGTATGACTTGGTTTTGCCTGGAAGCGAAAGCGGGGTAGGTAATCCACGCCATGAAAAAAAGGAACTGCCTCGTGACGAGACAAAGCCAGGACAAGGACAAAATCGGACCATCAGAGATCGGGGATCTCTGAGATCTGGAGGTTCTGTGAGACGTGTGTCAGCGTCTCTCGAATGGGGACTCCACGAACGGGCACTTTGGACAGTGACCCAGCGACTCCAATCCTCCCCGATGTGGGCAACGCTGCAATGCCACAAAGAGGCACTAAAGTAGCAACTGTCGGCAATTGTCCAAAGTACCCGTTAGTGAGTGCCCGTTACGGCGCCGCTGAGTGTTGGACGCCCCGGCCATTCCAAAGCGCCCTGGAACGCTGCGGGAGTGTTCCGGAACGCCACGGAGCGATGTAACCCTGATCCTAAGCTCCGCCCGTCGTGGACCCGCTCGAGATTCGGGAAACAATTTGCGGAGCGTGCGCCTTCCACGTTCCACCGTAGACGAGCGCGTTCCACGTTCCACGCAAAGTAACAACTCGCAAATGTCCTACATCACCCGCGGGGGATCTACGAGAAATTACGTCGAAGCAGACAGTGGCTTTCCCGCTTGCCAGACGCTCCTACCGCTCATTATTGCGCGAGGGTGGTCTAAATGTGCCAGCAGCGTTAACTGTCGTTTGATCGGAAATGAACGGACAGCAAATGCTCAACGGTTGATTGTCTGCACCAAGGGAACATGTGAGAATAATAGTGTCTCACGATGGGCTCGATGCGAATCAAGCGCGCGCTCCACTCAAACCAAATACAAAACAGTCGTCGCGAGCAACACTCTAGAGGAGGCGAAAAGTCGCCGCAGGACTACAAGGCCATTAGAATCGCAACAGCACCGCGTTCGTCTGACTGCCGATGTGGTATTCATAATCTCAGGAGCCCAGACAGTCCAGCTGCTCAAGAATACCCAAGGAACAACTACAACCAAGCAGTAAACGCACTCGATCGCCGACGACGTGTCTATGTCTCACGCGTACCTGCCCACGCAAGTGATGCACGCGATCGCATTATGTATCTACCGTTCGGAAGAGTTCGAGGGCATCTGTGGCAGGCTTGTCCTAACCCAGGGCTCAGATTAGCTCCTGCAATCGTCTAACGGATGCGATTCAAATCACTATCGCCATGCAAGTGTTTCGCAACCATGGCAAATGCCACCCCCAAAACCAACGAAACAGACTCCCGCAAGACCTGTATGTATGTATGTATGGATGTATGCATGTATGTATGTATGTATATGTTTACCCATACGACCACCCTTCGGGTGATAAGGAGGTTCGGGGGGGGGGAACCAACGTCTCACTCAATCGGTCTCACTATCGGTCTCACTATCGATCTCACTATCGATCTCACTATCGGTCTCGCTCGATCGATCTCACTCGATCGATTTCACAATCGATCTCACTCGATCTATATCATTCGCTCGATCTCACAAGGGACCTGACTATCGATATCACAATCGTCATCACAATCGATCTCGCATTTGGTCTCACGATCGATCTCACTATCGATATCACTATCGATCTCACAATCAACGTCATCATCGTCATCGACAACAACATCACCATCATCATCATCAACATCATCATCGGGACACAATCATCATCATCACCATCATCATCATCAGCAACATCATCATCATCATCATCATCATCATCATCATCATCATCATCCATCGGGGCACCATCATCATCATCATCAACAGCAACATCATCGAGCATATCATCATCATCATCATTATCACCATCGGGGGGCCATCATCGTCATCACCAGCATCATCACCATCATAATCATCATGACCAGGACAGCATAATCAGCATCATCACCATCATTCTCAACATCATCGTCGGAGCACAATCATCATCATCATCATCATCATCATCTGCATCGTCATGTCATCATCATCATCAACAACATCGTCATCACCATAAGCATCATCATCATCGGGACACCAGCATCGTCAACATCATCATCAACATACTCATCATGATCACCATCATCATCGGGACACCGTCGTCATCATCGATATCAGCAACATCATCATCATCGGGACATCATCATCATCATCATCATCATCATCATCTCATCGTCATCATCATCACCGGGACACCATGATCATCACCATCATCATCAGCAACATCACCATTATCAGCATCCTTCCCATCAACATCATCGGGACACCATGATCATCACCATCACCATCATCGCCATCATCACCATCATCACTGTCATCATCATCATCATCATCATCATCATCATCATCATCATCATCATCATCATCAACGTTATCATCATCGGGACACCAGCGGGACACCGGCGGGACACCGGCGGGACACCGCGGGGCCCCGGCCGCCCGGAAGGGAGACATTTGGTCCGGCCGCGCCTCAGCCACAGGGGACACCAGCGGGACACCGGCGGGACACCGCGGGGCCCCGGCCGCCCGGAAGGGAGACATTTGGTCCGGCCGCGCCTCAGCCACAGGAGACTTTCCTCTCGCCCGCCCACGCAGCTTCGCCTCGCCCGCACGCACGGCACGCACGAACACGAAACCGAAATCGATTTCCCAGTAGGGGGGCTCTCCGTTCCACTTCGATCTCACCCCCTCACCTCCGATATATGTATATAAGGCATGCTGTGTTGTGCAACACATGTGGTGCAAGCTATGTGGTGCCATGTGTGTGGTGCAGTCTACGTGGTGCAGCTCACCAAATCTACCTTGAGTTGTGAACTCCTCCGCTAGCGTACACATCCCACCTGCCAACCGACAAAGTATGTTTTGCAGAACACATGCGGCCGCGGTTGCAAAAACTGCTTGGCAATGGCTGGCGCATCCTTGCAGCCGCGATAGCTAGCGCACAATCTGGCGCGTATCAGCTAGCTGGTTTGGCATAACCGATGCGGCTGCGATGGCGCTTACCGATTGGATATTCGCAGCGCGTCTAGAAGGCCGCGCTGGCGCGCGGGTATTTCAGTGCGGGTCGGTGGCTCAGGCAGGCGCGGTATAGTGATGACGTCGACAACGGCGGCAACGATGATGATGATGCTGATGATGATGATGATGATGATGATGCTGATGACGACGACTACGACGATGATGATGATGCTGATGGTGATGCTGATGATGATGGCGATGATGATGATTACGATGACGATGATGATGATGCTGGTGATGGTGATGATGATGATGATAATGCTGATGATGATGCGGATGATGATGGTGGTGATGATGATTCTAGTAGCGGTGGTGGTGAGGCCAATGACGGCGCCAATGCTGGCGACGAAGATGACGATGTCGAGACTGGCAGAAATGGCGGCGGAAATTAAAAAAACCTGACCGGAATTTCATTGAAAATCGCATGGCTGCTCATATGGCTTGCCAAACTCATCTTTACATGCTTTGAGCACCGATGGTTTTAGACGGATTTCGACACGCTCGCGTGGCGGCGCACGCATGTGGCCCACATCGTGTTATTTGGTACGGATTCGTGCACTGGGCACATGCTAGACCAACGCGGATTCGCCGCGTGGTAAAAGGAAAATGTGGGTTCTGGGCAAGATTGCTAACATTATCTGGTGCCCGATGGTTTCAGCAAAAACAACACATGCGCACGGGCAGAGCATCTGCAAGATTGGCGAGCAATAACCCCATAGGTCTTCATGTTGGAATTATGGCAGCACTGGTGTGCTTTGTATGATTTCGACATGTGCGCACGCGTGTGGACTTTGTGTGTGCGAGTGTGTGATTTGTGCGGGGGGGTCTCGGAGAATGTTTTTTGAGGTCACCGAGCGTGCGCGCATAGTTTAGTTGAGAGGGATGACAAGGGGAGGTCGATACCGTCTGGGATGGTATGAGCTCCCACTTCAAACAAAATCCGTCAGAGCCATCTGCAAATTCCAACACGGGAAATTGTATCGTTAACCCCCTGGGGGGGAGGAAGCGGCATAGATCTTACTGTTGAACAGAGAACCCATGTGCTGCAAACTGTGTGGTCCAAGTCGTGTTGCGCGATCTGTGAAGAGCGCTGCGTGGTGCCCGGTACCTTGTGCAAGCTGCATGCTGCACTGCATGTGATGCAAGCTGTGGCGTGAAAGCTATTGGAAGCAAGCTGTCTGATGCAGGCTGTGGTGCAAGCGGTGCCTGTGGAAAGTGGGGTTGTTGGCCTCCGAAGGTCTTGCTGCAATGGTTGCTTCGGGCGCTCTTACGGGCATAGTGACCCTTAAACCATTTCAAGGAATTACTGGGACATCTCACAACCGCCTTCGGGCTAGCTTTAGCTTTCGGAAGCCGTTTTTGGGGCGTGAAGAGCGCCAGGAAGCAAACGCAGGAGGGCGATTTGTTCTAACACGTATGCATCACACATGCGATGCAGGGGAGGGAAGGGCGTGGCCCGATTAAATTCATTGAATCCTGCCAGACAGATGCCGGGCATTTGACACGCCCCAAGGTGTCGACGGCACGGTGGCGTGCCTGCTTCGACCACACAAATTGCACGAATACTTATCGATACATCTATATATGTATAGATATCTCTCTCTCTATATATATGTATATATATATATATATATATATATATATACACATCCCCGCTAGAAAGAAGTGCCCCCCCCCAGCTGGCACTGTTTCTGAACAACCGACTGCCGCGGACGCGATGGCACGCATCAAGTGCCTGAGGGGGTGAGAAGGCGCTAGACTACTCACCAGGAAGCTTCCGAAAACTTATCCTCGCTTTCGCCTGCTCCGAAAAGGCTGGCCGCCCTGGAGGGGCCACGCGCAACACTGCATTGAACTACGAACGTGAAGAGAGAAAAGAGAGGGGAGGAGGACGGGGAAAGGGTGGTGCCGAAAAGGCTATGGAGGACACCAGCTGCGAGATAACGCACCCACATGCATACATCCCCGCTAGAAAGAAGTGCCCCCCCCAGCCGGCACTGTTTCTGAGCAACCGACTGCCGCGGACGCGATGGCACGCGTCAAGTGCCTGAGGGGGTGAGAAGGCGCTAGACTACTCACCAGGAAGCCTCCCAAAACTTATCCTCGTTTTCGCTTGCCACGACTTGCCAGCGCTTCATTGCGCAGGACCTTGTTGAGCGAGGCCAGAGGTCGTCCAGGCAGTTCTTTTCGGAGCTTTGTGATTGGGCCACCTGATTTGCCGAGACCGTCTGAATGCTTCGGAGAAGAGCCGCAGGCTTCATATATAGACCCGACAACTTTCTGCACACATCCAACGGCCGCGGCTCTGGATGTCAGGCAGGCTGACCCCGTTCTTGAACGCGTCATGGGACGGGCCTCCGTGCCGCATCCCGTGCGGCACCACCTTGTAGCCCAGGTAGTCGGAGGCTTGGTTGAAGGCCTTCCCGACGGCCGCCAGCGCGAGGCCTCTGAACAGCAGCTCGCCTGGCTTCGTCTGCTCGAAGATCAGCTCATCCAGCGACGATCTTGCCAGGCTGCCACCACGCCGGCGTCGAACTGCCTGTTCTTGGCAGGCCTGTCTCTGGTCGAGGGGGCAACCGTGATGCTCCACTTCTGGATCGAGGCGCCCTGCACGGGCGGGCACAGGTCCCCCTTGCGGAGCTCGATCGCCTCGGACGGCCTGAGATAGCAGTCCAGGCCAGCAGCGCGAAGAAACCGACGAGGTACAGCTCGTGCTTGATGAAGAAATCGACGAACAGCCAGAGCATCTCCTCGCACGGCGGGTCCCTGGACTTCTCCGGCGCCCTTCGAGAGAACGCGCGCAGCGTGGCCCTGGCCAAAGCAAAGCAGCCGGGGGCTTTGATCGGCAAGTCCAAGGTCCAGGCGACGCCGTAGAGGGCATAGCGGGCAGCGCTCACCGCTGCGCCGTCCAAGAAGAGGAACTCCATGTACTCGACGAGGAGCTTGTCCCACTGCACCGCGTCGGCGACGGCTGGAACAGCGCGGGCGAAGCGGACCGCGGCAGCGTAGCAGTCGCGATAGCGCTGCTGCGTCGTTGGGCCCACCGCAAGGCGACGTAGGAGCCCAGGCCCGTCCTCAGCGTGATGCCGGCGTCGCTGACCCGCAGCTCGGCGTTCGGCTGCGGCCAGGCCCCTGGCGGTCAGCGAGGGCGCACAGCTCCCACTTGAGCGGCTGCCCGTCCCAGCGCCCGTCCGCTGACCCCCACCCGAGCGTGGCCTTAGCCGGGAGGGGGTCCACATGGACGAAGCGGTTGACCCTCTGGCTGAGGCGGGCTGCCAAAAGCTCCTCCCGCCGCTGACCGAGGCGGGGCTCGCCCTCCTTCCTCCAGGCGGCTGGCGGGGCGGCATCCCGCAGCACTCCTGCCAGGCGGCGGCAAAACTGAGGCGGGTAAGCCGAGGCGAAAGATGTCCTCCACCGCCAGCGAGCAGGTGACGTCGCCGTGGCTGGGAGGTGAACCGACCCTTGCAGCACGACGTGTCGCGCGTGCCCAGGGCACCTGGCCTCCATCCGCTCAAGGCCCTGCAGGTTCCCCACTCGCAGGGTCGGCTTCTTCCATGCTGCGCCGAAGGCGCACATGTCCAGCTCCGCGCGAGCGGCAGCAGCACGCCTAAGCAGGCGCTCCAGCGGCGGCCAGCTCCAGAGGTGGCTCGACCGAGGGTTCTCGATGACGAACTGAGCGCCAGCGCCCAGGCAGGCCCGCACCGCCCGACATGAGAACTTGGCGCAGGCGAGTCCAGAGGCCGACGCGGCCGAGTCCGCCGTCTCGCCACCTCGCCGAGCAGCGCTCCAGCGCGCGCAGGGGGTCCCCAGGGCGACAGCCCAGATCGAGCCGCACAGGATCCACTGCACGATGGTGTCGGAGACTTGGGCCCTGGTGACGTCGAAGTACACTGCGTTTATGTGATCGACTGGAACAGCACAGCGCAGTCCGCCGCCCAGAGCTCTAGCGGCGAGGCGGCAGCACCCGGCGAAGAGCTCGAGGAAGTAGACCTCACCTCGCTGTCTGAGCCCGCGGTGGCGGGGGCGGCGAGCAGCGCCCCCCCGCCGCGGCTAGCTTCGGGGCGTCATCCGCGGCCCCTGGGGCCGCCTCGGGCGCCCGAGAGGTCGGTGACCTTTCCCTGCTCCGAGCGGAGCCCAGAGGGTCACCGAGGTTCTCGCGGGGCTCCTCGGCGAGTCGCCAGCGGCGAGCGGCGGCCGAGACCGGCTCGGCGGGCGTCGAGGGCTCCTGGGCGCGGGCGAGCGGGCGGCCCAGGCGACCAGCGTCTCGAAGTTCAGCAGCCAGGCCTTGCACGCTCTGCCCTGCGCCGCGCCGCCGCAGCCTGGAGGCGAAGTCCGAGGGGTTGCGGTCGGTGCGGATGTGCCTCTGCGCCCACCGCACATTGGCAGCGACCTGCCATGCGGTTCCCCGTCGGAGCAGTGCCAGCAGCTCCCAGGCTCGGGCTCGACCGCGATCACAGGCGAGGATATCCGACATGTTGTCCCCAAAGGAGAGCAGCACGGTGTTGTGGTTCGCGCCGTGGCTGCAGTGGTCGGCGAGCCCCACGAGCGCTGCGCGTGCCTCCAGGGTGTGGATCTTACCAGGAAGCTTCCAGCTCCCAGCTCGGATGCACCTCCAACGTTCGGGAGGGCCCCATTCATGGCCAAGAGCAGGCACCAACCCAACAACCTCCACGACCTCGTCCAGCTGCGACTCGCTCGGGATGACGGCGACGCGCGGCTCCCGCAGCCGACCCAGCTCCTGCTCCACCTCGCGGGCGGCCCAGGCGCTGAACGTCTCCCCGCCCGTCTCCAGCTCCAGGGTCTCGTCGGGCAGGGCACCAGCGCCGCAGTCGTCCTCGCGCTCGTCCCCCAGCTCCCTGAACCTCCAGCGCTCGCGGTAGATGGCAGCTGCCCAGGCGCCCCGAGGGCTCGTCCTCGTGATGTGGACGGTGCACGCGTGCAAGTTCGAGTCGCCGCAGTAGACGCGCTCCGCAATGGGGCGGCCGAGGTCCGAGACGGCGAGGGGCAGGAGGCCTCTGATAAGTCTGATCTCGGCGAGCTCGTTGGCGTCAAACCCCCCCCGCCCCCCGCGGCCGTCGCCGATGAACGGGGGGCGCAGGTGCTGCAGGGTCGAGAGCAGCTCCCGTCTGGTCGAGAAGTGGTCGACGATATGCCCAACGACCCGCCTGGCGATGCCAGGAGCGGAGCCCTAGGAGGGCGCGCCACAACCGCCGCGCGCGCGACGACCGTGGCGCCAGGGATCGTCTCGTTCCATCGATCCGCCTGCCCACCAGCTCCAGTTCCGTGGTCGGGTCGACGTTCTCGTGAGTGACGAACCCCATGGCGTGCAGCTCCTCGGTGAGCGCCTTGCGCAGCGCGGCGGTGGCCTCGAGCGAGCCCCCAATGACGTTCCCGTTGTCGACGTAAGGCGCCACCACAGCAAACCCAGGCCCGAAAGCAGGGCTGGGCCTCCAGTCAGCCAGCGGCTCGGCGCCGCACCCGACGCGGCACATCGCCCGGCGCCCTGCCTCCTCCAGCGCGCTGCGGCAGAAGAAGAGCGCCCAGGACCAGCCCATGGCGTGTCCGCCAAAGCAGGCCCACAGCAGGTCGCCAGGGCCGACGGGCTCCATCTTCCCGGCGTCCTCGTCGTAGACCGCCGAGATGTTGAGCTCTCGTGCGGCGTAGACCTCGCCCAGGCAGAACCACGACGCCATGGAGGGAAGCCCGAACTGGTAGAAGCCGCCCTTGAGGTCGACCCCGGCCCCCGAGATACAGACCTCGCCAGCCTCCTGCCCGAGGGCGCCACCCGGCCCGGGGCAAGCCCCCAGCCCGGAAGAGTCCACGGCGCATAGTGCGAACCACTGGCCACTGAGGTTAAGGCAGCTGAGAGCACAAGGAGCAGCCAGACGGGACTTCGGCGGCCTCTTGTGGAGCTCGTTGACTGGTCTGGCGCATCCAGCACGAGGCGGATCGCGTCCTTATCCTTCTTCTCGACAAAGAACATGCCCACGCGCCCGAGCCGACGACGTCTATAGGCAATGAGCCCCACGGCATCGAGTCGTCGAATGAGGTCACGTCGGCGCGGGCCTGGCTGTCGGAGAGAGGGGTCCCAGCGTGGCTGGATCGGCTCGGCGGCCGCTGCTCTGGCAACGGCGTCGAGGGCGATCTTGGAGTTCGGGTTGTCAAGGTACTCCCGCGCGTAGTCGCCGACGAGCTCCCTGGCGTCGATCGGCCGCGTGCGACCTTCGAGCACCTTGAGCATACTCGGGGCGTACCTCGCGGAGGTCGAGGTGTCCTCCACATCGTAGATGGACGAAGACCGCACCAACTCAGCCAAAGCGCCTCCCTCGAGGGAGGAGTTCGGGATCGGCGGGTCGAAGAGCTTGACCATCCTGGCAATGTTGCCGAGCATGGAGCGCTGGCAGTCCGACAGCTCGTGCCCAGGAACGTGGCGGGGCAGTGCAAGCTGCACCCCCTGGCCCGCCCTCGAGTCGGCGAGCGCGTTGAGCGAGGCGACGGCGTCGACCACCAGCGTCTCGGCGCGCTCACGCCTGGCCCTCCGGCGAGCGGCCCCCCGATTGGCAGGCCGAACTTCCCGCGCACGCTCGGCAGCGAGCGGCAGCGGGAACGGCGACGGCGAGGACGGCACCGAGTCGCCCTCCTCGCCAGCGCAGGGCTCAGCGCCAAGCTCAGCGCGAGCCCAAGCCACCATGGTGCTCCGGCAGCTAGCTCTTGCCCCTCTCCTTTTTCTTGGCTGCCCGCTTCTCCTCCTCCTCGGCGAATAAGCGCTGCTGCTTCAGTGCGCATGCACGTGCCCGCTGTTCCTCCGCCACGCACCTCGCGAAGTCTCCGACGAGGACCCCGCCAGCCGAGTCCAGCTTCGAGGTGGCCATGACCGTCGTGCCCTTGAAGTCTGGCGCCTTCGGGTTCCTCTTGGCCGCTGCGTGGATCTGCAAGACCAGCCTGGCAGCATGTTCCGCCCCAGCAAGCTCTCCCAGGTTGAGCTGGTCGAAATTGCAGAGGTGGAGAAGGGTCGTCAGGAGGTCGCGATGCTTGTAGCTGATCTGGCTGTCGGGCCCGACGCCGCTACTCCGAACCCAGTAGTCGTGGAGGTCCCCCAGCTCTTCTCCTGAAGCCCGCACAGCGCGAAGAAGCTCCTTCACCGCCGAGGGCCCCTCGAACGGCCAGTCCGCCTCCAGCTTCTTGGGGTCGATCCAGGTCATCTCGCCCATGGCGGACCTCAGCGCCCGATAGCGTCCTCTCGTCGAGTCGCGCTCCACTGGAAGGATCCTTGGATCGCGCCCTGGCCCTGTCTTCTTCTCCTCCTTCCACTCCTCCACGTGCTCTGGGGCGAGACGCTCCGCGGTGGTCCACATGGTCTCGCCATCCTCCTCGACCCTCATCAGCGCGGTAGCGTCCCGCGACACGAAGGTGTTCGGGCTGGCAATCACTCCCTGGTCGACGACCTCCCCGAACTTCGCGAACGCTGCGTCGGCGAACCACCACTCGGCGGCCGAGGCCGCGGCGCCTGGGGCCGCGACGGCCGCCCCATGAATCATGGCCAGCGCCCCGCACTCCCGTCTGATCTCCGCCAGCTGCTGGTCCGTGAGTGCGTCGGGGCCGTAGTAGCTCGCCCTCACTCGCGCGGGCACAGGCTGCCCCCGCGTCAATGGGATCACGTGGAGCTCCGCCAGGTTGATGATCTGCGTGTGCAGGTCGGGAGTGGCTCCAGCCCATCGGGCATCCACGATCCTGACCACCAGCATCCGCCAATGGTACTCGAACTCCCGGTCGTCCCGAAACCTCACCGCGATCTGCAGCTCGGGGATGTCCAGCGCCGACGACATCTAGCCTTAGAGCCTCGGCCGTCTGGGCCTCCACTCGGTCACGACGGTGGAGATCTCCGCGGCCAACGAGCTCCCCGCCTCGCCAGTCGATGCCGGAAGCCGCGCCAGGCGGCTCGGCCCCTGCGGCTCGAGGGCAGCGAGCGGTGCCCCAAGCGCGGCCCTGGGCGCGCTCCCAGCCCGCCAGCGCCGCGAGCAGCACCAGGCCCAAGCCAGCAGCACCACCGAGGCCCCGCTGTCCGCTCCCGCGGCGAATGCAGGGAGGCCGCCGCTCGGCGGGCACCGGCAGTCCACGCGGCCCGGCCGTGGTGTCAAATCTGCCAACTGCGCCCCGGCCGGGCAAGTGCAGTGGCAGTGGAAGTCTGCAGGCTGCGCCGGGCACGGAGGGCACGGCGGGCAGGTGACCGCCGGGGAGCACGCCGGGCAAGTCGAGCACTCGACCACCGGCGCGCAGTCTGGGCAGCCCGAGCCTGGCCCCCAGAGGCTCGAGACCCAGGTCCCGAGCAGGTGCGAGAACACAGCGCAAGCCACGCCAAGGCCCGCCAGGAGCATGCACGGCTGCGTGCGCTCCGGGGGCGCGCGCGCGCGCACCAGCTTTTGCCGAAAAGGCTATGGAGGACACCAACTGCGAGATAACGCACCAACATGCATGCATATTCATATATATATGTGTGTATATATATATATATATATATATATATATATATATATATCAGCCGGCTCCTTGTGAGGCAGGCTGTAGGTCCAGGTTGCTGCTCCATGCGCCAGTTGCAGTTTCAAGTCACCAGTGTTACAGTTCTGCCTAATGCTTCCTACTGTAAATTGTGGAAGTCTGCACGAAGGGGGAAGCCCCAAATCAGCAATTTACCACCCTGAAATCGCGTGCTCTGAATTCCCGGGGGGGCGTGGGACACGTACAAATACATGAGCCTCGCGCTCCCGAGGCCATGAGATTCGCACCGTCGAGGTCATGATCCCTCGTAAATTATGCAATGTTCGCGTTTCCGAGACCATACACCCTCGCAAATGATACAATTCTTGCGTCCTCGGGGCAACAAACCAACGCAATTACCCTATATTCGTGTCCCCGAAGCCATACACCTTTGCAACGTACGCCATATTGGCGTTGCCGAGGCCAAGAGTGCTCCAAGGCCACAAGAGGCCCCAAGAGCGCACCAAGAGGCCTCCCGAGAGAGCTCCAAGAGGTCAAAATGGTAGATGCCACTAAGGTTGTTGAAAGATGTTTGCCTTCTCGCATGTTCGACTTTCCGACACTCCAAGACGGCTCAAGAAGCTCCCAGGACCGCCCCAAGACAAGCCAAAACGCGTCTAAGAGGGCCCCAAGACGGCCCAAGAGGGTTCCAAGACTGCCCAAGAAGCGCTCCGAGAAGCCCCGAGAAGCCCCCAGGAGGCCCCTAGAGGCAGCCAAGAGGTCCCAAGAGGCTCTTCAAGAGGAGCCCAAGACGCGCCCAAGAAGCCTCCAAGAACCTTCAAAAATACCCCACGAGGCCCCAAGAGGCCCGCAAGAAGCGCCCAAACCGACTCAAAGAGGTCCCCGCGAGTCTCCCCACGACACCCCAAAACCTATACACGAGACCTCAGACCCACAACACAAGCACGGTAGCGGGATGAGCCGAAAGCCACCCGGATAACGCCAGCGTCTCAATATGCGCGGATGATTCCTATCCGCCCCCGCATGATGTTCCCAGATGCGCCAGGGCAGCGCCGACACGCACCGACGCGACTCTGATATATCTCATTACGATAGAAAGGGGGACGGAACAGTGGACGACGCCCTTTCGGATAAATACTAGAACCACGAGCGCGTTTTGTGCGCTTAGATTCTAGCGCAACACAGGTCAACGTCTCGACACAGGTGGGTGCGTATGGCCTTGTCTGTCGTGCAGATGCTTCGAGCCGTTTGAGACATTATTCCCACTCCTCCCGCAACCTCTGTTCTGTCTCCTCCCCTCTCTACTTGCTCCTCCCTCTGGGTCCCCCCCTTACACCCGCTGTCCCTCCTGTCACGCTCTTCTCTCCTGCCCTCGGGACTACCCTGAGGCCTCAGAGGCATATCGGAAGAGAAGGAGCAACGTCCTCAGAAACCCATGGCCGTCCGTAGGTGTTCGAAGGATTTGGCCTTCTTGGGGGCCTCTAGGAGGCCTCTTGGAGCCTTTTGGCAGCCGCTTGGGAGCCTCATGGGGCCATCTGGGGGCCATCTTGAGCTACCTTGGCCGTCTGGAAGCCATGCTGAGCCCGTCCTGGCGGCCTCGAGGGCCGCCTTGAAGCCCTCTTGGGCCGTCTCGGGACCACCTCTGGGCCGTCTGCGGTCTCCCTCGTCGAGCTACTCTGGCGCGCTCTTGGCCCGTCTGACGCTTTCGGAAGCCGCCTGGGGGTGGGGTGGGGACTCTGGGAAGTCCTGGCCATCGCTCGGACGTCCATTCCCTGTGCTTTTGTCGGTGTCGTGCGTGTTTTTTTTTCGCAGGATGATGCAGGATGATCCTTTATAATCCCCGCCGAGAAAAAGTGCACACGTCTGAGCGATACCAAGGGTCTCTGGGGCCGCCTTGGGAGGCTCTGGAGCGCTCTTGGGGCCGTCTGGTGGCCTTGTGGCGCCCCCCTTGGAGCACGCGTGGGCCAGTTGACGACCAACCAGAAGCCTCAGGGGCCCACCAGAAGCGAAAAAAGTGGCGTCTTCGACAACTAGTGGGTTTTCCTGCGGTTTCCACCAATCTGGGCATCGTGGGGCCGTCTCTGAAGCCTCTTGGGGCCAGAATCCTTGAAACAAAAAGCTGGAAATCAAGAGAATTTGCCCCTCGAGGCCCTCTCGCGGACTCTGTTGGACCCGCTCGCGCGTCTCATCTGGCCAGCTTGTGACCATCTAGGAGCCTCCTTGGCCACGTTGGTCCGTCTTGGCGGCCTCTTGGCGCCCACTGGGGCCGTCCTGCAGGTCTCTGGGGACCTGGGCCCCAGGGACTGAAATCTGGTGCGGGGGGAGACGGGAGTTTGAAAAAGTGAGGGCCCCTGGTCCCGGGGACCCGGTCGCCAGTTATACCAATCCATGTGTAAGTACCTACACACACAAACACAACACACACACACACACACACACACGTCTTGAACCCTAACTTGAATCCATTGTGCAAGGCCCAGCCGTTTGGGGACTACACTTGTAACGTGGTCACAACACTGGCACACATGTCTTAGTTTGCTGTGTTCTCGAATGTTGTCAGATTCCCAAGTCTTCGGTCTGGATTATGTAAGGCCTCAAACTGCCACAAGATACCCCGAAGAAGGCCCACACAAACCCCGAGAGAGACAATCCGAGGACGCCCCGGGAAAACCCGAGGGCGCCTCGGGAGAGACCCAAGAGGGCTCAAAGATGGCCTGAGACCCGACCAGACGACCCCAAGATGATTCTACCAACTGGGCAGAGTCGTCGTCGTCGTCGTCGTCGTCGTCGTCCTCGTCGTCGTCCTCGTCCTCATCGTCGTCGTCATCGTCATTGAAACCACCTAGAATCCCCCAAGAAGCACCAACAGGTGACCCAACAAGCGTGCAAGGTTGACGGGCATGCCGCTACAACATCGTGGCGCTGCTCACCACACGGCCCCAATAGCGCTCCACTGAGACTGCTCGGGAGAGCCTAGTGGAACCATCCCGCGTGCATGTCGATAATGCGCTGGCACAGTTGCGGGGTGTGCCGCAGGCAGTTGTACATAACTGGGCGTATAGAGTCAGGCTGAGTCAGTGCACGCTAGATGCCTGAGTCGTCTTAGAGATGATGCTCGGCAAATGAGTAGCGAGTAGCGAAAGTGGCGCATAAACTAGATGCTCAGAAGTAGCGGCCCATGCATATGAATGGTGAAAACGCAGCATGGCATCGCGCCTACATGTTCTCAATTACCCTCCAGTCGCCAACCACTACACCTTCGCTATTATTCACTTGCTCACACCGTGTTCGCTATGGCTCAAATCACAGGGTTCACCCGTGACGTTCCCTCACACTGCCGCTAAGACTCTGCACCTCTCAAACGCCATTAAATACAAACACTCTTCCTCACGACAGACGGCATGTCACCAACTTGAATCGGAACACACCATCAAAGCGCAAAGGAGTGACCATGGAATCTCGTTCGCCAAAGCCATGTCCTCCCCCCATCGGCGAGCAATAAAGCACGATCGAAACGAATGACGGGAGACCTGCAAATGAGTGTCCATGTCATGTTGTAGTGTCCGCCACCGTGCCGCGAGGCGCTGAGTGCCCTGAGGTCCCTTCGAGGCCTATGTATTGACCTCTGTCTCATAGGGGCACGGGCTCCCCAAATTCCAGGAATGTCTGGGCACTCCCGCGCGCACTTGGGACATGCCTTGTGACTCTTACGGGGCCTCGGAAGCGTGGTTCGGAAGCTCAGGTCGTCCCATGAACCCGACCTGTAGCCCTGTTGGGCGCGCCAGCCAGAGACCCAAACCGTTATCCGTCCGGGAGGCTTTAGCATACTCGGCGTTTCGGCCTTAAGAGTGTCCGAGCCCCCAAGATCGCCCAATGTCGGCCCCCAAGAGGGCCCAACAAATTGCTGCGTTGGTTGCTGCAGCTTTGTAGCTTACTCGCTCAGACGGTAATGGTTCGAGACATGGCAACGTCAAGAAGCATATAATAATGAAATGCATGCTCTGGTCGACTGGGGCGGGGCCGCGGCCTCGACCACGTTAGTCTGAGGTTGAACGGCAGCAGAGAAAGGTTGGTTAGAGGAGCATCGTGGGAAAGTGAAGCTACGGGTGACGGGAGCCACTAAGGACTACACCCTGCGAAATGCTTTAGAAATCATGGGTTAAGAAATTCATAGTCTCAGAATGTAAATAAAAACCCAGAACTTCTATCAAAATCTTAGGATTTACATTGAAACATTAAGAATAATCGAGACTCTCGCCGAAAACTTGGGTTTTCTTGAGCATCGCCTAAGGTGTAGGGACGGTATCGTAATGACCAAAAGGCCCCAAATAACGCCTCAAGAAGAGCCGAAGAGGGAGAGCCCGAGCTCCGAGCTGACATGTCGAACCTTTTCCCCCAACATCCCCCCTCCCCCTCCTCCTCCTGCTCCTCCTCCTCCCCCTCCCCCTCCTCCCCCTCCCCCTCCTCCTTCTCCTCCTCCTCCGCATCCTCTTCCCTCCTCCCCGCTCTCGCTGCGTCTGGGCAAGGAGCATCACAGCCAATACTGCAGCCTGGGCCCCCTAACAAGTCGCACGAGGTCTCCAGGGACGTGCCTGAAGTGGCCGAGCAGTCTGGGGTGCTCCTGCTTTTGGCCATCCTCAGCCGTGACCCTGGGTTCCTCTGGGGCTGGAGGCCCTTTGGGGCTTGGGCTGGAGGGGAAAGCTCTGGAGGGGCCCGGCTTTCGCCATCCCGTCCGATTTGCGGGCTAGGTGTAGGCGTGATGTAGGGTTTGTCTCTGGAGCGGCCACTCTTCAATCCCTTGCTCCTGCTTTGCGTCAATCCGTAGCCGCTCGGCTCAAGCCAGTTCAGCTTGAGAATATATATCAGATCTTCACGCCAGTTGGGTGTCAGCTGTCGAACCCACAATCGCTTCTCATCATGGGGTGGACTTGCCTCGTGGGCCATCGCGAGCCGAGGGGCCTAGGTTCACCGTCACCACAGTGAAGATGCCACAGAAAGTTCGTGCGACACCCATTCGGGACCAGATCAGTGGCTGGTGGACCCAGCTCAACGCTCTGCTCGGAGGTCTCGTGTTGCACAAGACGAAAGACAACGGCGCTCTCCAGATCGAGCGCTACGTGACGGGGTGTGCACGGCACCTTGCGGATCGGCCTGAGCATGTGCAGCGCGTGCTCATCGAAGGTCGTGATCCCCCTTTGGTCGGAGTGGGAGAGGGTTCCGAGCGGCGCGGGCGAGGTGGTCACACCAGTGCTCGTGAGCTTCGAGGCCAGCACCAAGAGGATCATGGGGAGGGCGCAGCGCAGGGCAGTGCAGGATAGTACCAATGGAGTTAAGGATTCCATGGTGGAAGATGGGGCTATTGCAACTCTACATATGGTCCTTAATCTACATAGTTTGCCAAGTCTCGATATGGACCAAGGAGAGACTGTTCTCGTTCACCCACGTGATATAATCGACCACAAAGCGAGAACATGGCACGAGTTGTGGGCACCAACCGCTTTGGACGAAGGCGAACTCTCTCGGACATTTGCCCAGATTCAAGCCGCTGCTGATGACGAGTGGTTGCCTCATAGTTCTGTCGCAGAGATACGGTCGGCCCTTCGCAAGATGAAGGGGCGGGCGGGCCTCGGAATCGACATGCTCAGCCCGCTCGACTTCGAGCGCCTCCCCGACGAGGCGCTGACCGAGTTGGCGGTGTTGTTTCAGGCGTGCGAGTACCATCTCATGTGGCCTGGCCAGGTGTTGTTGATTGTAGGACGCATGTTGCCAAACACATCGAATGGTTGTGGAGCCTCACGCGCGAACCTCGTGTGGGTAGCTGGCCCTCGGCAACCGAGGAGCACTGGGATGCTGCAATGCGGGGGAACTCCAGCCTCCGCGAGGCCTTCATCCGTGTGCTGCAGCAGGAGGTGAACCACCACCTCGGAGTAGCCACGGGGGAGGCCCTTGGTGACATCCGGTCGTTCTACGACTCCATCGAGTGGCCGACGCTCGCCTCCTGCGCGCTGGCACTGGAGATTCCCGCCGCAGATCTTGCACCTCGAGCTGTTGCAATGTGTGGCGGCTCGGCCGCTGGGCCGGCTCGGCGCCACGACCGGGGCCTTTCAGCCCACGCGGAGCGTCGCCCAAGGCCTGCGGGCGGGGACGCGCTTCGCCAAAGCGACGACCCGCTACGTGCTGGCGACCATCACGGTCGCCCATCCGCGACCTGGGCAGCGCATCTGGATCGACGACCTGTCCCAATGTGCCCGAGGTTCGCGAGCCGCTGTACGGAAGGACTTGGCTGCGTGTGGCTGGCACATGTGAGGAGTTGAGGGCCAAACAGTTACGAGTTGCACCGAAGTCAGTTATCGTGTGTTCGTCGCTCCAGGATGCCAAGTGGGTGGCGAAGTGTGTGAGGCTTGCTGGTTGCTCAACCCAGCCAGCCAAGCAGGCCGCCTACCTCGGGGTCGGCATGGGCGGGGGAGTGAGGATGTCTCGTGAGAACAGGGCCAAGAGGGATGTGAACCATAAATCCATGAGCGGCAAAGTGCGGAGATACGCACTTGTGTCGAAGAAGTACCGCGTCACGGAGAGACTCGAGAAGCAGGGGGCCCAGGCAGCGGGGGTGCACGGGCATCAGGCCGATGGCACCTTCGGAGCCAGGATGACCCTGGCTCGACGCCGCTTGGACCAGGCGCTGGCAGCGCCCACGCGCGGACGCTGCCTGGACCACGCTGCTGGCGCTGAGGGCGGGGGACGTGGATCCCGCGATCAAGCTGCCAGCTGAGACGCTCGACCTGTGGCTACGCACTTGGAGGGAGCAACCAGAGCTGCGACCAGGGGTACGGCAAGCGTGGGACAGGGTATACAGGCACATGCAGGAGCTCCCTGCAGCGCAACATGTACGCCATGTGCGGGGGGGGGGGGCTCGCTGCTACCGTCCGTCACCTGTTGGAGGCAGGTTGGGACCCGCAGCAGGCTACAGCGTGGGACCTCCCCGCCAGTCACCCAGCCGCGGGGGACATGTGGAAGTTCGACGACGACATGTACACAGGGCTCGCAGCGCTGGACTCGCACCAGGGCTTCATAGCGGATTTCAAGCAGACTCTGAGGCACGCCCCTGTGGCAGAGGGCCAGCCAGCATTTCTGTGGCACAGGTTTGGAGCAGGGCGTCGACTGCGCCTCGTACCAGGGCCTGTTGCAGCAGCTGGCGGCCGTCCCTGCCTATGGGCACAGGCTGTCAGAGGTCATGCTCGCATGCGCTGCTGGGGGATGCTGGCACCGTCAGCGCAAAAAGGATGAGCGGTGTCGGAAGGCGCCAGAGTGTATGATGCACCGCATATGGCATATGGTTATGATAATGGAATGAAGGAAGTAGCGCATACGATGAGTCGAACGACCTGATCCCGCAGGCGATCGCCCAGGGCGAGGCCGACCAGGGCTTCTGGCTCAGAGGACTCATGCCAGCTCCGTGGACGGTAGTGCCAGCTCCCTGCGAGATCGACGTCTGGGTCGGCACGGAGGAGTTGGACGGGGAGCTGATCACCGAAGGCTGCGTCGCAGGCGGCTCGGAGCAGGCCCCTCTTTTCGCCTTTGGCAACGCGACCGGGGGGCCTGACACCAGCAGCCCGCTCGTCCGACGCGTTGGCGTTGGAGTTGTTTTCATGCGGGCTCTCGAGCCTGAGCTGCAGCTTGCCTCGACTGTGCGCGGCCCTTTTTCGGGGCCTAGACAGATTGTTGTTCGAGGTGAGCTGCGAGATTTGCTTTTAGCCGTGTGGATGACCACTGGATCCATGCCGTTCATTTCATATTGCGAACCAGTCGTTTCAGGTTTTTATAGCCGCAAGTTCGAAGAGCCCACAGGTGAGGACGCTGACCTGTGAGCACGCCTGGGGCTCCTGCTGAGAAAAGGTCGCACGATGCCATCACTGTCCTCCTTGTGAACTCTCATCTGTCTGCCACTGACATCGTGGAGGGGAGAGCTTCGCGGTGGATGGTGGCAGGCAACCTGATTGTCGATGAGATCGCTGGGCAGGCGGCCAGCGAAGCCCGTCTCCCAGAGGCAGTCCGCCAGCAAGTGCTGTTGCGCGAGAGACCGGCCCGTCTTGTAAGGATGCGTATTCTTCGGGCCACTCTTGATTCCATGGCGGCTGAAGATAAGGATAGGAGTGCTGCGGAGGAAAAAGGTCCTGCCTTCCCCGCCCCCCCTCCGCCCCCTGCTGCTGCCTCTGTCGCCCTTCTTGCTTCGTCTCATTCAGTGGACGGCACAGGGTGTAGATGCACCAGGTGTGGAGGCTCGGCGTCGAAGGCGACGCGGACAGCCTGGCTGAGGACCCAGTGCTTTCACCCGATTCATTATAATGGTGTCATGTTTCGGAAGCCTGAAGGTGCTATGTTGCACATCGCAGGTGGGTATGTCCACCACAGTCACATAATGCAATGTGGTGGTGATTTGAAGTTGTGGTATTGCGTTAGTTGCGGTAGCTATGGATCCCTGCAACTCCTGGCCCTGGGACGTGAGTGCGTGACACCTCCCACTCCCTGCAGGTCCGAGTATTTGATGCTAATCTCCCATGGCTCGTGGCCAAAGGTCCTGAGCAAAGCCGAGAAGGCCACCAGGGATCGCAGGGTTTAAGCGATGTGGTGGATTCATTGACTTAGTCATATGGTCATGCTCATGCTCATGCTCATGCTCATGCTCATGTTCATGCTCCTCCTCCTCCTCCTCCTCCTCCTCCTCCTCCTCCTCCTCCTCCTCCTCCTCCTCCCCCAACATCCCCCCCGAGACCGCCCGCGGGCCCTTCATGGGTCCCCTGCGGCACCCAGTAAGCGCCCAAGATCCCTCTGTAAGAAAAGAAAAACGGTGGCGGGATAGGCCGAAGACAAGTCCACCGCTCCCTTCAGCTTGCAGAGGGGCGCACAGCGTGCCGAGTTTGCAACTCGCCCTATGGGCACATCCGAAAGGTTCCCAATGGGCCAGTGGGGCCTCGACTCAACCCGCCGTCCACCTGGAAGAATCGCAAAAGGTGAAAGACAAGGGTCGCCTCCTCCCAAGATGGCCCCAAGAGTGCCTCTACAATTGCCCAATGTGGTCTCCAAGACGGCCAAGGTGACCCCAACAGGGCAGAACACGCAGAACCCCCCCCCCTCGGAAGTGAGACCCCCTCTGGAGAGATGCCTCCTCCTCCTCCGCCTCCTCCTCCTCCTTCTCCCTCCTCCGCCTCCTCCTCCTACTCCTCCGCCTCCTCCTCCTCCTCCTTCTCCTCCTCCTCCTCCTCATCCTCCTCCTCCGTGCCTGCGACGCCAGGGGGGCCACCAGATGGGTTCGAGGCCTTCAGGGAGCTAAAACACGTTTTAGTCAACCCCGGTGCCATGGTCTGCTGCACCCAGTGTGGGGCCTCGTCGTCGGGGGAGGAGGGGTGGAGCGGCCGCTCGAATCTGAATTCGGAGTGTGTGTGGCCGTCTTCCAATCCTGCCACCAGGGCCAACCAAAAGCGGAAGGCCAACACTGTGCAGCGTGGCCTCCACCCCAAGACAAAGACCTCGTTGCCCCCGTTTGCCTGAACCCGTTCAGTTTTATTATTGAGGCATCGCCTCCCCCTCCCGCCTTAAGTGGCTAGGGGTTCCAGGTTTCCAAGGGTTTCCCGTTTCTCGGAGAACTCCTGCTGGCTGCTCGGCCTCCTTATCCTCCGCCTCCTCCTCCTTCTCCCTCCTCCTCCACCTCCTCCTTCTTCTTGTTTTTCTTATCCTCCTCCTCCTCCTCCTCCTCCGTAGCCACTTTGGCTCAAGATGCATTGTTCCACAGAGGAGCACGTGGATACCGCTAGTCCGCGGCCAGTGCCAGGGTTGTTCAGCCCGACAGTCTTTGCGAGGGGTGGTCCGCCCCACTCTCTCGCCTGCGCCTCCAACGAAGCGCAGTCTCCATGGGAAATAAATATGAGCGCGCGTGCTCGAAGACGGCCCAAGAAGCCTCCAATACGGTCCAAGAGGGCCCCAAGAACGCCCCCAAAGGGGCCCCAGAGAGGGAACACGAAACAACATTTCGAGCCCTCGGCCCTAAGAAGCCCCTACGAGGCCCCAAGAGGCCCCTAAGAGGCCCCAAGAGGCCCCCACGAGGCCCTCAGGAGGCCCCCAAGAGTCCCCCAAGCGGCCCCAGGAGGCCCCCCAAATGCCCCCCCGAGCGCCCCAGGAGTCCCCCAAGCGGCCCCAGGAACCCCCAAAGCACCGCATTGACACCAGGCCCTCGGGCAAACGGCAGACATGAGACTGTATGGGCCGGCGGAATGAGCGATGCGATTAAATAAATATGGGCGCGCGTGGAGCACATGCGAGGGTTGTCAGAATTGGATTTGGAACTACAAGCTCATCACCAACGACAGGTTCTGCCAGTGCGGACACAAAGTGCAGCTCTGGGCACCGTGGAGTTCAGACAAGTCGGCTGGACGCCCAGATACCCCAACCAGCGACAAGCAGATGGGCAACTTCTTCAAGGCTACGGACGTGCCGCCTGAGGTGGCGGAGGCGATCAAGGCCTCCCTCCAGACCCAGGCGAAGAAGCCGCCTCCCACGGACGCTTAGGGAGCGGCTCAGAAGGCGAAGCAGGAGTTGCGTAAGGCGGAGCAGGCGGCCCAGCGGTTTGCTGCGGTGGTGCTGCGGGCCCGCGGTGAGCTCGAGACGGCCACCGACGCGCGCGAGGAGAAGATCGCGGAGCAGGCCGTGGCGGAGGCGGCCTATCGACTGGCCCTTCAGACCTTGCAGAAGGAACAAGCCCGCGACTCTCCACAGACACACGGAAACAAGATTGTCATCGACTTTGAGATCTTCGAGACAGCGGATCCCGATGACATGGACGATGCCGAAAAGAATACCTTCACGCAGTAAAAGATGGAGTTCGACGCAGCACGGCCCCAGCTCGAGATGGCAGCCACGAAGTTGCAGGACCTCATGGAGCCCATCAAGCGTGGGCAAGGGGGCGACGCGGGACTCAAGGAGTCACCGGCGGGCACTGGCGCGGGCGCGGGGGCGGAGCCCGCCTGCGCGGACGGCGCTGCCACCGCCGCGGCGCCGGCCTCCCCGCCGCCCGCCAAGGCTGCCGGCCCCCCCGCGGTCGGGGGCGAGCGGCTCAAGTCCTCGGCCGCCGAGTCCTTGCGCCAGGCTGCGGAGGCCGCCTCCAAAGCCGCCGCCCCCAAGTCCAAGGCCCTCCCGCCCAAGGGCCCTGGGGCAGCTGCTGGGCCCGCTGCTCCTGCTCGCGAGCTTCATCAGGGTTAGCGCGGGGCGCCCTGCCGATGCGCAGTCTGGTTTGGAGACCTCCCTGTTCTACGCGAACATCACGGAGTAGGGCCCGCAGGCGGAAGGGTGGCTAGCTTCGGATGGGAAGATGCATCAGGTCGTCGCCATGGTCGAGACGCGCATCTCTGAAGAAAAGCAGCAGCATTAGTTTCTGAAAACTGATAAGGACGATTGGCGCTCCTCGAAGTGTGATGCGGTGCCCGCGGGCCTCTCGGCTCAGGGCACGACAGGAGGTGAGATGGTCCTTGCACGCAAGTCGGTGGCGGCTTCCACGTTCGATGCGATGCGTTTGCAGAGCCGTCAGCTGTATGCTCTGGACCGCTTGCCACGGATTTGCGCCTATCGCGTGGCATCGCAAGACGGGCAACATTGCCGTGTTTGCCTTCTACATTGAACCGCGCGAGGCGATCACGGGGCCAGTGCACGAGCGGATGGTGGCGCTCACCTCCTCTCTGGACATGCTTGCGGATCCCTGGGTTGTACTTGGCGATTGGAACATGTCACCTCAACAGTTGGCAGATAGCGGATACCCTGAAGAATGGGATGCATCCATTCTGGCGGCACCAGGCTCGGCCACATGCGACAAGGGCGCGGGGTCCATCATCGACTACGCGGTGGTCAAGCGTGGGCTGGAGACCTCGGCGGTGCTCCGCCAGGTTCATGATGTACCCTGGGCTACCCACTGCGGCATCGAGGTCTGCGCGGCGGAGTCTCAACCTTGGTGGTATCAGGCACTGGGTCTCCCTGCGGAGTTACCCTGCCCCCCACGCCCGCGGCGCCAAGCCGGCCCTAACAGCAGGACTTCCCCGAGGAAGAAGGCGTTACTGGACAAGCGTCAGCGCCAGCTACCCGACGAGCTGCAGGGGGCCTTGTTGGAGCTTTCACAAGATGCCAATGGATGATGTTCCTGCGCTACTCACGGCCACAGAGATCGATTACGTCAACGGAGTCGACTTTGCCATTCCCCTCGACCTGTAGAGGCAGCACCAGGACGATGCGATGAAGGCCCTGGGCTGCTACGACACGGCTGGGCCCCCAGCGAAGGCGCGCTCGGAGCACCCGAAAGGGAGGTCTCGCCTGCTGGAGGGGGCCTCAGATACTTTCTCCGGGAGCGATTGCGGCACCACCAGCGACGATGACATGCCGGTGGCCACGGGTCTTCAATTGTCGGAGCGCGCCCTCCCCCCATGGAGCTGCGCGGCGTGATCGGGCTGCCAGATAATCTCTCTGGGAACGACTGCGGCACCCACAGCCGCGACGTCTTGCCATCAAGGGGGGAGGGGGCCCGGAGAGCCCACACGGGTGGCCACGGGCCTTCAATCATCGGAGCCAGCCCCCATGAGGCCACATGACAAACAGCCTCGGGGATTGCCAGTCCATTTCCTGCACGAGAGGAACCCCCAGGCTACCACGCGCATTTCTACCCAGCATGATACTTGGATGGGGTCATTCGAGAGGGTGGTTCTGCAACATCACGCCACTCCCGCGGGGGGCAGGCGGGCTGCATTGGGCGAGCGCAGGGGGCGCGATTCACATAGAAGAAGACTGCCTCGACCCCTGGACGAACGCGTATCAAACATGAACCTGCCGAGCGGTGGGCCATCAGAGCGACCCTTGCGAAGAAGACGCTGGCATTGTGCAGGAACCGCAAGCATGGGCCCCATTACAGACACCGCAACTCTCCTCATGCGGGGGCTTCTGAACCTGGACGCTAGTAGAGATAAGCCGTTGCCGAAAGTCGACGAAGAGCGCGCAATCACAGCCTCGGACGATGAAGAGCGCGATGAGCTCACTCGCAGGACGCAGGCTTGGGCGGGCAGAACCACTGCACATGCCTCTTATCAGTCTACGAAGAAGTACGCGGGATGGATGGCAGATATGCGGAAAGCGAAGCCTGGAGTTTTACATCGATCAGCCAAGCCCCAGGAACAGCAACGATTGGCAATACATGTCAGTGGCCAGACGATCGCTAATCCCACGCTTATCATGGAGAGCAAGAGATGAGAGCTGGAAAGAGTCTGGAAGCCACGCGAGACCAAGCAGCAGATCCTGGACGCCTTGGACAAGGCTCGCCGACGCTTCAGGAGGGCCCTCCCGAGGCTATCTCGCTTGCCGGCCTTGAGCGCACGCTACAGATCATGCCAGGAGCCCAAGGGGTGGGCGTGACAGGCCCTCGGGACATGATGCAAGTACCAGATGAAGCACACCAACAGCACACGGACCTCTGAAATCAGATCGAGACGGGCGGCGTCTGGCCGCCGCAGGTTCTGGTCACGCTCGGAGCTATGGCACCGAAGAAGGCTGGAGGAGACCGCGTGCTGCGAGTTCTACCACACATAGCCCGCACGTGGAGTCGCATTCGCGGGGCGGCTCGGGCATGTGGAGCGATGGCCTTCATGACTTCTGGTGTGCGGCGATGAAAGGATCGTCAGCGCTAGCAGCGGCATTGCATTGTGCTTTCTTGGACGGGCCGGCTGTGGCTATGGGTCTCGCAGTTAGTGCGCTACTACTGGACTTGGCCAAATCCTATGATCACGTGAAGCTGGCACGCCTGATAGAGGTCGGTCTGGATGAGAACTTCCCTGCCATCTGCCTCCTGCTGGAGGTCCTGATCTTCCTCAGCCCGAGGATATTGAGATCTCGTGGGTGGATTGCTGAGCCCATGTATGCCCTCCAGGGGATCGCGGCGGGCTCCCCTACAGGTGTGATGTTGGCCCGTCTGTTTCTGCCCCCTATCCTCGCTCACGCTCAACGTCGGGCCGAGGGCGCTACCATGTGGACGTTCGTGGACGACGCAGTGGCGAGGTCAGAAGAAACGGCGCCAGCAGCGGCACAGCAACTGATATAGGCGGGAGGTGAGTCGAAGGCAGCACTTGATCATGCTGACCTCGAAGTCTCTGACAAGACTGTGGTGTTATCGAGCAATGAGCAAGTACGAAGGCGACTGGAGCGGGGCCTTCGAAGACGAGGGTTTCCAATCTCAGCGACCACGACGGCAGCGGACCTCGGCATCGACATGCCAGCGGGAGCACGCCGAGTCCAGAAGAAGGCGGGAGAGCGCTCGCGAGCGGCGTCCACCAGGACTTGGAGGATCGTGCGCATAAGGAGCACGGCTCAGCAGGCCCGTATTGCCAAGGGTCTGTGGGCCACAGGATCCTTACCTCAGGGAGTATATGGCCACCAGGTTCGTGGACTCGCTCGACGCGCTATGCTACGGTGGCGCAGACTGGCGGCAGCGGCTGCCTCTGGGCAGGCAGCGGGGCGCTGCCTCACGATCCTCTTGGGAGTCACCTTTGATGGAGCTGATCCTGGCGTCCAACTACGATTACAACTGCTGCGTCAGTGGACTCGCTTTTGGCAGGATCAGCCACACCTTCATCAGCGTATCCGCAGGACGTGGATGCTTCTCAAGACAAAGCTGACACTCGCGGGCCCAAAGATTTGGTCAGATGTTGCTGGGCCGGCGGGAGCGACGATTGCGACATTACTTGAGGCTGGTTGGGATCCCAAGGCGGCCGACTGCTGGCAACTTGTGCATGCTGAATACCTGGAGGAATGGAGGCTCCCAGACGATGGAGCGGAGCTAGTTGACCTCGACTACGAGCCCGTCCTCGACGATTTCAGCGAAGACCTCCAGAGCAGGCTCTGGGCGACTGCGGCGGCGCACGAGCACGGCGCCTTTCTCGCCGCTGGAGCCGACCTGATCACGATCAGGATCGAGCAGCGGAGCTTCTTGTCGAGCGGGAAAATACTGGCATGGGTTCTGAATAATTGCGTTGTACCTGGGGGCCAGTGGACCCGTGAGCGCCTCTATCAGGCTGGGTACACAGTGAGCCGTCTCTGTGATAGGTGTAACACTGGGGCCACTGAGGACATCCCACATGGGCTCTGGAAGTGCTCGGGTGATGAGGGCCCTGAGGTTGCTGCCAGTGATCACTTAGTGCCCCAGGCGCTTGCGGGTCTGGAACAGGACCCTGCTCTGTGGCTTGGAGGTGCCCCTAGCCTCTCCTCCACTACTCCCTCCTTCTCTCCGTGGGACGGGGGTGGGGTGGAGGTGGTGGGCCCTGACAATGAAGAAAGGCCCTCGTGGGAAAATTGCCGAGGCCCCCAAGGGCGCCTCTATTTGTTCGGGGAAGGCTCTAGATGGGGCCTTTTCAAATGACCCTCGGAGGCGCCGATGTGGCTGGGCGGTTGCGGCGATCTCCCCCGACGTTGCCACTCTGGCCTCTTCGGCCCCTTGGTGGGCAGACGGCAGACCGTCCCGCGTGCGGAGTTGCTCGCTGTTTGCATTGCGGCGGAGGAAAGCTCGGGGCCCCTGACGTTTATCACCGACCACAAGCCTCTCCTCATTGGATGGGGGCAGGGTTGGGCTCGGAGGCCTCCTGGAGCCTGGACCCGGCGCCTTAGGAACTGGGATCTTTGGTCTCGTCTTCGCAGGGCCTTGGTGCTGGACTCTGGACGCGATGTGGCCTTGGTGTGGGCCCCTTCGCACCAGGATGAGACGCCAGAGGCCATCACCAACCCATGTTGTGTATGCGGCAATATTATTGCTGATGCTTGGGCAGGCCGAGGAGCAGACAAGAATTGGAATT